GGATTTATTCAGCATGTTCTTTTTAATTGTATTTTTTTAAATTCCGTTATTATATCATTTTTTTTAGATAATTTAAAAAAAATATTGAGCTATATTTTGACACTCAATTTATTCAATTCATTTATTAAATCAATTTTGTATTAAATTTTTGCTAATTTTCATTAAAAAATGTTATGCATCCAAGGATTAAATCCTGCTTAAGTTTTGATATAAACTATTTAATTTCTTGTTATTATTTTCATTTCGAATCTATCACGTAACGATTCAGAATCGATATACGATGTCATACTTAATATGTAGAGTGAGGACTCCGAGAAGTACGTAATATTTTTTATATTCCATTTCTTGATTATATGACAATTCAAATTGAATCTTTTTTACTTATATGTATAAAAACGTATACGTACATACGTTACCAGTATGTATCGATTATAGTTATATGTATATCGTGACTACAAACGCGACTGTGTAGCTCTCAGGATAGAAAATACACGAACATTCTTACACAATACAAAGGAACAAAGGATATTGTACATTAGCATTAGTTCGGACAGCCACTATAATTGTTGAATGTTTCAAAGTATATTGTACAACGAAGGAAGTTACTGGCTAATTGCGCCATTGTCATTACAATTGTATATCTTTTGAATTTAATATCTTGAAGTCAATCAAATCATTCTAGAAATTTGTGTTTAATAAAAGATAATAATTAAATATGTATAATTATATATTAAGTATTTTGTACAAATATCTATTGATGGTTAGAAAAATGATAATTTTTCATAACATGCTGATGATATGAGTTAATAAAATCGTCGATAAGTGATTTTTATATTAAATGTTACTTATGATGAAGTACAATTGTATGTTACACTTTTAATTTTCTTCTACCCTGTAAGTTGAAACAACAATTAATATTTTCAGAATATTTAATATATGATCGACTTTTCTAAAATATTTTATTTTAATATAAATGTGTGATATACTACAATAAAAGAAATATGTACAACATATATACATTCAGTTATTTATTAAAAGGATAATAATCCAATCCATTGTTGTATTTAAATTCGTGTTTATTATGATTCTGCTTCTTTACCATTTCCATAAGTTTTTGGACGTTAGGTCTATATAAAAAAGAAATAGAAGATTGCAAATAATTACAAGTTACATTATAAATAATGTAAAGCATAATTATGAATCGTACCTGTAAGGTGGTGGTAACATTTCTTCATGGAACGTACATTTTGTGTTATTAGGTTTGTTTTGTTTGAATATTTTTGATTTAACGATATCGATATCTCTATTATATTTATCTATGATTTTGTCTACTTCATTTGATGGTACATCAAAATATATTAAAAAATGGCTGGAAATATAAAAAAGAAAAATAGACAAAATAAAGTAAAATATATAAAAATATATTGCTACTATTCCGGACAACCCAATACTTTATTATCGTTAGAATACATAATAATGAAGAAAATTTATCATGCATTTAATTTGTTCCAATTAAGGCAAAACTTAATTATGTTTTAATATTATTATAAGTATAATCTTACTTTGCTTCACGATGAACGTGTCCATGTGCGTTAGTTTTGCATGGAAGTGGTATTACTCCGCAATTTTCAATTTTTCTGATAAAACCACCAGTATTAAATATCGTTTCAGCTGTTCTCTTTAAAGCTGTTACCAATTCCGGCTACAAATACATATCAAATGTTTGTTGATCATTTTACAATAGATAACGATTATTTGTATGAAACAACATATTATATCAGGCGCAGGATTATCATAATGTTTTATTGCACAAATCGCTGAGATAAAAAAATATAACCTATACTTTACAGTACGATACCTTTTTCATGATTCGCAGCAATAAGGGCATTTCATATGTAGGCATTTTTGTATTTTTTTGTCACTCTAACTATACAATTTTTAAAAAACTAACAATAATATAATGACAATACTTTAATAATGGAAAGAAAATCACTCATTGAATGCACTGAAAGAAAATCACAAACTACATTAATCTACATAAATTATATTGTCTTGTCCAATTCTGAAGGCTGAGCGAAATTGAAGAACCCCGACATATCAACTGTTGTGAAAATAAATAATAAGGATTTGACACCTAGTTTCCAAGAATGGATGTTAGTGTAGATGAGAGTGGTGCGTTAGTGTACGGATTTTATCATTTCATGCTTCATGTAAACAATAAAATAAAAGGCCAAGCTCAAGCCACGGTATATATTGTGTTGTTCAAGCCTTAAAACTCAAAACTCAGATTCGACCTCAGATGATTCAGATTTCGCTGGGGAATCGTGAAACGTGGATGTGCAAGTAGTATGAGAAGAATATTAAAGCAAAATACGTGTCAGAAAATTTGAACTTTAGCAATCGAAAACATTTTACTTACATTTTACACGGAAGTATTGTCACTTCTATTATAAATGGTATTGTAAAATTATAATAATATTTATCAATAGATTTATTTTGATAATTTTAATTATTTTTCAAATTTTTATTATTTTACTGATAGAATATAGACAGAAACTGTAATTTGCTATTCAATGATGTTCTGCGTTTATTCAATTTCATGTTTCTGTTAATAAATATGAAAAAATATTTAACAGTTTATATTTATTAACAGTTTAATAATATTTCTTAACAGTTTATATTTATATTAGGTCTGTTTTTTATTCCTTATTAATGATTCTACAATGTGCTCTTTGTTTCCTGTTTTTTGCTTTTTACCTTTTTTCCTCTTTGTGATCGTTTTATCAACAATTGTATTTTTTGCAATGTATTTCTTATTTCTTTTGAAGATCGTTAACTTTTATCTCAGGCGATATAAAACAAAAAAATGGATAAGAAGTGAAAAGACAAGATGTAAAAAATAACAAAAGGCAAGAAACAGGAAATGAAAAGCATAGTAAAACAGGCTTAAGACTGCATTAGAACTTTCCCGAGAAAGTCTAGTAAGGAATAAAGATCAAACATATATCTATCTATCACTTTAAGTTCCAAAAGTATATACTAAGGCTGTGATCTCACTACAAATGCTTTGAAGCATTTGATGGACCAATTAGAAGAAAGAATTTTACAAACCAGTTAAAAAACGTTTCAAAACGTTTGCAGCATCGCGTTGACCATATCCTAATTCAGATATAGATAATTCAGGTGTAAACTCAAGAAAATATTGTTATTTCAGATATTCAGTGTATAATGGAGATGGCAGAATTATCAAACAGTAATAAAAGCGATAGTGATAAAACCAATGATAAAAATGATGAGGAAATACAGTGTTTCGATGCTAATAATGTAAATGATGACAAAAGCGATAATTTAAATGATGACAAAAGTATTACCACAAACCATAACAAAAATGATTGTAACCCAAGGGAATCTACCCGTAGGCAATTTTACAAAAGCCGTATAAGAAAAGATAATATTAAATTAGAATTTGATGATAGTACACCTCAAGAAGAAAGACGGAGATTGTTATTAGAGTATCAGAAGAAGTATGTATAACAAATTACTTATAGGAATATTCTATTGTTAACAAAAAAATATGTATTTTATGTTAAAAATTAATAGGCATTGTATGTGTAAAAAATCCATAGAAAAAAATTAATATACTTGTGACAAAGTACATATGTTAAACAATTATTTTGTATATATTCATAAAAACATTAACAAATATTAATAAAAAATTTAAACTTAACGAGGATATTGAAAAATTTAATAATAAAATTTAATAATAAATTAATGAAATTAAATGTTACTATTTGTAGACATCATAATTATTGGGACTTTTCAGGAAATATATAGCAGTATAGAAGTCAGTTTCTGTTTAATATTGATATTCAGTGAAATGCATTTTTAACAAAATAATTGAGTCTTTGATGTTTTTCTGGAAAAGTTGTATATCATAAATTTTTACTGGCTTTTACATATTTTTATTCTAAGATCATTCTAATATTTTTCTTTTTTTTTCACATTCTATTTTTTTTATATAACTACGCTATTTTATAATTCTTATAGACATAGAGATGAAACTATCAATGCTATACGTGGTGTACAAGAGTGTTTTACATCAAAAAATGAAGATATGAAGAAATATATAGACGAGCAACATATAAATGAAGAGGAATATGAAGATGAAAACGAATATATGGATGCGGAAGAGTACATGGCTGAAGAGGAATATATGGAAGTAGAAGATTATGCTTCGTCATATTATAAGATTTTTCCGAACGAATCCAAAACAAGTCGAATGATGCTATCAGAATGGATGTTAGATGTGCCACAAGATCTCATTGAAAATTGGATTATGGTTCCATGTCCAATAGGAAAACGAGTTAGAGTAATCTCAGGCTGGGTATTAACTCATCTTTATTGATATTTATTATCAAATAAGAAATTTTTATTACAATTGTATAATTATTTTAACAATTTTTTAAATCAGGGTGAAACAAGGGCATATTCTAGAAAAGGTGTTCTACATGGTGTTTTTCCTTCAGCACTTCCAGGTGGAAATTCTGATAGTGACTTTCATCACTCTGCTGCTATCGATTGTCTATGGATAAAGAACCGAAAACTTTTTTATATATTAGACGTATTGTATTGGAGTCTATTGCCATTCACGAATTGTCAGGTAATACATATATATTTCACATATAAATCAATCTGTATTTGTAAAGTAATTGATATATTATAAATTAAAATACATAAGCAATAAATAAATAAATATATTTATATATTATTTTACGTATACAAATGCGATATATTATTTTAGGCTGAGTTCAGATTTTTCTGGATCAAGAATAAGTTCCAGGAAATACCAGAATTCGAAGAACGTAATACTGATACAAATAGATATCCTATTTTAACTCTACCAAATATTAATTGTAACTCAGACGTTAATTCAATCTTGGCAAATCTTGATAATGAACCTCTGGATGGGTTGCTATTTTATCATCGTCAAGCATTATATACTTATGGACTTACTCCACTTGTGACGTGGTTAAAACCTTTTATGTTATCTGAAGTACTTGGAATATCTGTACCTTCATTTGATGAGAAACCAGATGATTATATAAGTTTTGAACATCACATACAAAAAGTAAAAGCCAAGAAAAATCGACAAGATGATATTACAAAGAGTGATACTAATTCTGTAAGTTCCTGCAGTATTATATAATGACTAACTTTATATGTATGTTAACTTTTTACTTAATATATTCTTTTTAATTTTACAGATGGAAATAGAAGGTGTCGTTTAAAATTAAAAACTCATTTGTTATGGCAATTTATAGATGATCAATCTAGATGACTCATATAATAATCCAAAACTTAATACATATTTTTTTTATTACCAAAGATACAATATGTCTGATAATACAAATTTTTTTTACAAAATTAATAAAAATTTTTTTTTTTTATAATGACAAATCAAATCTCTATTTTTTATGATGATGACGCAAATAATCATTGCAGCAATCAAGATATATTAATATATTTGAACTATATATATTGTATATCACAAAATATTAAAATAAGAAAAGTTCATATATCAATATGCACTGTATGAAATATATCGAGAGCTTTGTCACTAAAGTATAACAATATATTATTCATAATTTCTACATTTGTCACTTTCATCTAAAAAAAGAAAAACATTAAACTATTATATATTAACATGTATCAAATGTTTTATTTTAACATCATTTCGATGTAAACTGAGAGGAAAAATAAAAATGTAGACTCACTCTATTTTCCATTATTGTTATCCCGGGTAGATTAATCCTGCGCAATGTACATAATCCTAATTGTAAATCTCCTGCCATTAACATTTGCTCATGTAAAACTTTATGGAACATTTCCATGTGTTCGCAATCAAGAAATACATTAACTCTGTCATTTCGATCTCCGACAATGCTGTAAATTAATAAATACTAATATAAACTAAATATTATAAATAATATTGAACATTTTCATTCAATTAAACATCAACCTACGCTGATAATATTTCCTTCAAGTCTGAACTATGATATTTAACTTTAATGATATCTGTAATTGGTAATTCTGGCACTGTGTATTCCATTTGAACTTCACCAAAAATTATTGGCTTATCCTCATTAGTAGCTGTAATTATAATCGGAACCAGCCAACATAAGTCATCCTCGTTAGCTGGTAGTGTAACTATCAAGCAGTCAAACATACGACCGATGATAGTATGTACTGCATCCATACAGCTGCGAGTGCCACGACATAGTAGAAGAGGCAATCTTATAGAATTCTGTATATTTAATGAGGTCCGTGTTAAACTCCAGGATAATAATACTCCTTTATAAATGGATTTTTCAACACCATTCTCATGACCATGGATTTTAGCTATAACTTCAATCTAAAATATATAAACAAGCTATTGTCTTTTTAACAATGTACATATTTTAATATGATATTACAAAATATTAAACTATTATATAAAAAAATATTAAAAATTAATAATTGTCAATATTTTTTATTAGACCTTGATTACAGGATCCTCACTATTTGGTTTAGATGTAATATCTTCCATAATAGAAAACTTTGCGTCATAAGTTACATCTTCACGCGATAAGGTGCTTGCAATCTCTTCTCTCAATTTCTTCGAATATAATTTGAAATGAACATCATCTTGTTTGATGCCAAACAGAGCAGATACTGCATAAATGTTCCATGTTTGGGCTACTAAGCCTGTAAGTTGTAAGTAAAATTAAAAAAAGATTGTATATTCAAATAAAAAGAGATGTTAAATATTTAAACTGAATAGTCGATTAACATAAAACCAAAGTATTACATTCAATTATATCTTGGGAACTATTAGAACAAGAAATTTTTGTGTCACATCAATTCCAAGCGTTTGAAGTACGCTTTCAGTTTTTTTCTTAGATACGAAAAAGCACGTTGTTTACCTTCCAATCCATCGATTTCGTCTTCTTCTATCCACATACTCAGATCGAACCGTTGTCGTTGACGCATTCGAGGTGTTCGCGGGGTATACATGGCACTACCTCGACTATCCGGCGTACTGATACTTATGCTATCTGACATGTTATGGTTATGGAGGAATTAAAAACCGCTCATATAAATATAATGAACATTCGAAAAGTAATATGAGATCACTCTAAGTGATCTTATTTCTTGATAATAGATGCGAGTACTTGCTGCGCGAATGTCAATAAATTATCAATCATGTGAAAAACTGTTTCTAATCGTTTCAAAATAATCGTTTGAAAACTGTCGAAAATGTCGAATTTAAGCGCATCGCACATGCGACATGATGCGGCACGAAATACTTTGATATATGATTGGTGATCGCACTATGGGTATGGTCAACGCGATGTTGCAAACGTTTTGAAGTGTTTTTTAATTGATCAGTTTGTAAAATTTTTTCTTCTAATTGGTCTAGCAAATGCTTCAAAGCATTTGGAGCGAGACTTTGACCACAGCCTAAGTCACAGTATAAGACTTACGCTGTTACACAGTATAGAGACACACTGAAATACATTGATTATTATTTCGTCTTTGTCTTTTATTTAACATTGACAAACAATAAACATATGATTCATATGCTGTGTTCTACCTTTTAATAAATTTTCTGTAAGGTAAATCTGGTATCCGCGCATGTGATTGGGTAATCTTGCTTATCCAACAGGTAAAATTTATCTAAAGACGGAACAATCGGAAATTGTAGCGAACAAATGTACGCTGTGTTCCAAATTTCACTGCCAGTGCTGAAAATCTATAGTTTACGTTACATATATGTATTATACATCTTCAGCACTGACAAATTCGTATTAACAAATAGATAATAATAATTAAATAACTAATACATAATATATAGTTGCTAAAAAATTAAAAAAGAACGTGTCAAAACGTTAATTATCTTCGAATTTATATATCAATCGAATTCTAAATAAAAATAATAGCGCATCATTCAAATATAATTTGTATAATGTATGTGTAATTTTTTTTTTAAGTAACTCAAAAAGAGATTACGCCAAAATTAATAAATATAATAAATAATTACATTATATATAAATATATTATTGTCAATCAGTTTCAATTAACTTCGCTGATCTCGTTCTCTTCGCTCGATTATAAAAAACTTTGTGCAACTATTCCATCATATATTTATCTTTCATATCCACGCGATTGACGCGATCGCCAAGGCAGACTTTCACCAATCACATTAAGTTACGCGACTCTCTTTCTCCTTCCTCTTTTTACGCGCATGTATTCGAGTGCACTCGCGTCTTTCGATCGATGTTGACGTGGGTCGTGTTTATGTCCCGCGTTGTTTTTGTCTCCCGCGCAAAAACGCAGAACGGTTTTCTCAAGGGAGGTTAAGAAGCGTAATATCCGCAGCATCCCTGTGACCCCCATCCTCCGAAGTCGATCGCATAGAGTTGCTTTATCATTGTGGTCCAGATGAGCGCGAGTGCGCAATGGCAACGATAGAAGTCACATTCCCGTCAGACAGACCGCCCGGGAAAATTCTGAAATGGAGGGTACGCTCGGACACAATGGTCGCAGCGGGCAGAATATTGCTGGTGTATCAGGACGCGACGCCAACCGCCGACGATGAAGAGACCAAGGAGCCCGAGAAGAAACTGCGGGCCACGAATTTCGGCCGCGTCAAGCAGTTTCTGGCCAAGGCGGGTGACGTTGTCCAGCCTGGGTATGAATAATCCTTCCCATAATCCTCATTTGGAATGATAGCAAATGGTAGTTACATGAAATTCCGTAACGTCATCGCATTCAAAAATCTGTAGAACTGCCAATTTCAAATGTCTTCAAACGCATAACTTTTTTATTATCTTGTGTTAGACAAGGCTTTTGTGAAGATTTAAAGATCTTATTAAACTCATTACATTTCATCTGTATCATAAACTGATAGATCTTTAAACCTTAAACAAAATGAGATAATAAAGAGCTTCTACTCTGTGTCTTAAAATAGAAGAAAATTGAAAATAATCTGTATATTCTTAAAATAAAAATTTTATTCTTAATATTGCAATATTCTTTTTATTAAGAGAATATTGAATTATGATTGTGTTTTTACAAATACAATCACTTAACTATGCTTATGCTATTATAAAATGGACTTTACCCTTATACAAATGAGTCATTCGTATCTTGTATATTTTTTTCTTTTGAAATCACCTATTTAAATGATTCACCTATTTAAATAATGATTAAATTTTTTCTTCTTTCCTTTTTTTTAATGTACAAATATTTTCTAAATATATTAAAAAATATATATTATAAGAATTACTTAATGATCTTATATTTTTATAAACATGATGAAAATTAATCGGGGACGCAAACAATGCTTATAATAAAAGATTAGAAAATCATCGTGTGTACTAAAGATTGAGTGAAACAAGGATTTTATATAATTTTTATATTGCATACAGAAACACTTTTTAATGGTTTTATATTGTGTAGTCTATTTAAAATATACTTGAATTTTGTGATGTCTGCATAGTTGATTAGTGTTCCAGGCAAGTGATAGTTCTACTGGAAGGATGTACACATCCCACTGTGATGATAGACTTGTGTGCAGAATGCGGAGCCGATTTGAGAGTACAAGAAACCAGCAAAGATGGAAACACAGTTGGAGTATCTCAGGCCAGTGTGCCTATGGTACACAGCATACCAGAACTGAAAGTATGTCCAGAATTAGCAGAAAAAATTGGGAAAGAAGATGAACAACGTCTTTTAACAGATCGGAAATTAGTGCTACTTGTGGATCTCGATCAAACAATCGTTCATACAACAAACGATAATATTCCACCCAATTTGAAAGTACGCATACATTTTATTATATGCTGTCATAATTTTCTATAAAAATTATTGATATAAAATTTTCTAGCATTATTGCAAAATAATCAAATGTTTCTTTTCAAAGGATGTTTTTCATTTTCAATTGTACGGGCTGAACTCTCCATGGTACCACACCAGATTAAGACCGAACACCCGGCACTTCCTTTCGGAGATGAGTCGTTTGTACGAATTACATATTTGCACTTTCGGAGCAAGAATTTATGCGCACACTGTTGCGTCATTGCTAGACAAGGATGGAGTTCTGTTCTCTCACAGGATACTTTCGAGAGACGAATGTTTCGATCCAGCATCCAAAACTGCAAACCTCAAGTATTTATAAATTGCTATCTTAAATTTTTATATAACATTATTAGAGATAAATATTTAGAGATCAATTCTGTATTTATTGCAGAGCTTTGTTTCCATGCGGCGATGACTTAGTATGTATTATAGACGATAGAGAAGACGTATGGCAAGGGTGTGGAAATTTAGTTCAGGTGAAACCTTATCATTTTTTCCGTCACACCGGCGATATTAATGCACTACCAGGTTTGGAAAAGGCTGAAGTATCGCGTTTGCCGGAGCCGGTGAATGCAAATGATTCCTGTACAAATTCGCAAAACAAAGATAGCAAGAATGATGCTTCTGAATTATCAAATGAAGCTGAACAGCCGTTAAACAATCCCTCTGTGCAAGAAACAAATCATGAAGATGAGAAAGATGAGAAAATAATGGACGAGATAAAAAACAAGAATGAAAGAGATGAAGATGATAAAGTGAATACTGTAAAGGATGCGGAATCTAATGTTCAGACTACTACTACGAAAGAAGACGATAAAAAGGAAATAACGAAAATTACACCATCTGTGGAAACGAATAAAAGCAGTAAGCAAGCGGTGCCAAAGCAGGAGAATAATATAATAGATGATGATGATGATGATTATCTACTATACTTGGAAGATATTCTTCGAAGAATTCATACAGAGTTTTATGCTACATTGGATCAAGAGAATACTCGAAAGTCTTTGCGAGATATAATCCCACGGGTACGCTCTCAAGTTTTGAAAGGATTATGCTTAACTTTCAGTGGCTTGATACCCACTCATCAAAAACTTCACCAAAGCCGTGCATATAAGGTCGCGAGAGCGTTTGGAGCAGAAGTGACTCAAGTAATACTTTTGTATTTATTTTTTTATAATAATTTATTATGTTTCGATAAATAACAATAAAATTTTGCCAGGACTTAACGGAGAAAACCACGCATTTGGTTGCTATTAGAAAAGGTACAGCGAAAGCAAACGCAGCTAGAAAAGACATAAATATTAAAATTGTAAATTCGGATTGGTTATGGACGTGTGCAGAACGCTGGGAACACGTGGATGAGCGCTTGTTTCCTTTAACATCACAGGTATAAATATGTCATAATTTTGTAATGTTAAGTTACATTATTTAAACAATTACTTTTATGTAATTTATTAAAACGCACGTTGTCTCGACATTAATAATAAACATGAAGTATCATAGGCACGCGGATCGAGAGTACCACCACCGCATTGTAGTAGTCCGGAACGCGTCGAGGATGTAGAAAGCGATAAAACAAATTCCTTCGCTAATTCTATCAATCCATTAATGTCATTCACTCAAGAAGAGATCGAATTTATGGATAAAGAGGTAAATGAGGATATGGAAGATATGGTTTTCGAAGACGAGGAAGATGATATGGAAGAATGTGGTACAAAGATACGTCGTCGGAGCTCCGATTCTGAAGATTCTATGAATGGTAAAGTCTATTTTAAGTGATCTATAATATGCGATTTGGATATAATTCTGTCTGTAATTTTATGTATTATGTATTATTTTATTACGTTAAAATATTACGATAAAGTCTGGATAAGTTAAAGTTTCTAAATTGCTTTTATTACAATTACAATTTTTGTTCGAAGGAATTGTAAATTTCTTGCCCATTCTGAAAAGAACCAGTTATTTAAAAAAATTTACTTGTTTGAAAGTTTCTAGTTTCTAAGGCACAATATAATATCATGATTTATTATTATGCAATGTTATGCAATATACATGATATATTATCATGAGATAAAATTTCATATTTCGCAGACTTTGTTTCCATTAGAATTAAAACATTTTTTATTAGAATAAAAACATTTTTTTTCTTAGTTCTTAATATTGTGTATGCAGAGAATCAAACTTATATTTTCGTTTAACAGAGAATTATAAGTTATTTAATTATATTTCAATATATATATATATATATATAATTTTTTATATTTATAATTTTATACTTACAAATTAAATATTTTTTTTATGTTACAGATATAAATGAATTGGGAGTTTCAAAAAGAAAAAAGAGAAAGGTTTACAACGGCAACAATGATAAAGATTTCTCCAAAGATGTAGACTATCATGACAGTGAAGACGATGACAATAACGACAGTGATGATGATGATGATGATGATGATGATCTTGTTGCGCGTTTTAGAAGAGGAGGAGAATTACCCGATGATTTAGATCTAGGTGATAATTCACAGGACTCAGTGGATGATTTTGAAGAAGAAGATAATGAAGATGACAGAGAATGGAATGCATTGGGTGCTGCACTTGAAAGAGAATTCCTTTCCGAGTGACATGTGTTTGAATATAAGTAGTTTTCTTTAATAATTAACTCAGGATGTTTTATGTTATTCATAAATTTCAAGTTCGATAGCCGAGGCAGGGTTATTGATAATAAAACGTTACATTATTATATACTCTGATAAGCAAGATATTATAGAAATATTAAAGATTTCGAAAGAACAGATTAAAATAACTGATCTATGAAACAAGAATCTTTAAAAATGGAAAATCAATTCTTTCTATAATATCGAGCAAGACTTATTGGATTTTTAAATTTTGCACATATATTTAAAAGCATGATTAATTGTAACAAAGTAATTATTGTTCTTCAAAAATAATCTGTGAATAGTATTATAGCACTGTGAATAACACATGTGCCATTGAATATATTTGCGATTTTTTTCTCATGCAAGAAAATATGTCGAAAACCGATTTTATCTTTATGTATATGTATATATATATATATATATAATTA